CACCAAAAATGACCTGCAGAACACTCTGATTCATCAAATTGTATTAGCAACTAATGCAACCATACTATTTTTTATTTATCCTAAGAAATCACATTGTTACAGACTGAGCAACAAAATTATAGACGCTACTAACATTTTTAGATCATACTACATCAACTATCATATTGTCTTTCACTATGAATAATTTAAGGTATTACCAAATATATTGCATTTTTGGAGGATTGCATATTGTCAAAGTTTTACAATAAGATATTGTTATGTTGACAAATAAAAAGCCTTATAGACACATTGGTCAGAGCTTGAAAATAATGTTATGCACAACTCCATGTTAGAGAGATTATAGAGAGAAAGTGCAAGGTCATTGGCAAAGTCAAAATCCTGAAGTAGTTGGCACAAATCCATTAAATTCTGTTTCTGTTCTCAAAAGAGGTGTTCATATTCCAGTCAATGATGAGGAGGAATAGGAATGGAGATGACATACATTCAATTCAATTCAATTCAATTCATTTAAAGAAATGCCTTATAGACACATTTGTCAGAGCTTGAAAATAATGCTATGCACAATTGCAAGCTACAATATCATGGCCATGGCAAAATGTCATGTGTTGTGAATGACTTTCAATGTCAAATTCAATTTTATATATTTAAATTTGAATGAATTACAGCAATTTATGTAAAGCCTATGGTCATTTAGCTGCAGTGGTCATCTTGACTTGGATTAACACCAAAGGTTGGACAGTTGAAGATGTATATCCATTTACTATGTATCTAAAGTTTTGTTAAAATCCATTATCCTCTGGGGATAAATAAAGTTTTTTTTAATTGAATTGAATTACGTTGTTCATAAAATATTTTATTAACAGATAGAGTGGTTCCAAATAATTAACAGCAAAATATTAAAGATCTTGCTCTGTTCAAACTATGTGTTGTGTATAAATCTAAACTACCACTGCCATGAAATGTACCGTATATCATTTACTTACTTATGCCCTCCACCCCTCCTGGGGTATGGGCCACCAAACATGGTCTTCCAGAGGCCTCATGCAGTGCCATTTTCTCCAGTTCGCTCTAGTTAAATCCAATCCTCTAAATTCAAATTGAGGTCACGTCACCAGATGTTTCTTGGTCGGCCTCTTTATTTTCCTTCAGGGTTCAACCTCAGCGCCTGCCTAGTGATGTTGTTTGGTGGTTTGAATGTGTATCCTTTCCAGCACCATCTTCTCTTTCAGAGTTCTTCTATAGGCAGTTGTCCTGTCTTTTCCCACAGGATGGTGGTACTGATGGTATCAGGCCAGCGTATCTGCAGAATCTGTATGAGGCAGCTATTGAAGAAGGTTTGAATTCTTTGGGTGATTGCTTTGTCAGTTCTCCATGTTTCAGTTCCATACAGTAGTATGGCCTTCATGACTGAGTTGAACAGTCTTAGCTTAGTAGGTAGGGACAACTCTGTAGAACTCCAGATGTTCTTAAGCAGGATAAAGGCTACCTGGCTTTTCCAATCTTCACATCCATTCAAAGTGACCAGGTTTTTGTTGCTTCTAGGACTGATCTTGAATATCTTGGTCTTCATCCTGTGGATGTCAAGACCAACATTTGACAATGTTGTTACCAGAAAATTTGTCTTCTCCTGCATTTATTATTATTATTATTTGTTAGTGGCTATTAGAGATAAAGTGCAAGGTCTCTGGCAAAGTCAAAAATCTCAAGTAGGAGGCATGAAATCCATTTAGTTCTGTTTCTGTTCTCAAAAGAGGTGTTCATATTCCAGTCAATGATGAGGAGGAATGGGAATGGAGACGGCATACATTCAATTCAATTCAAAAATACTGTATTAATCCCAAAGGGAAATTAAATGTTCTTGTAACTCATTATTCTCATTTCTTTAAGAAATGTTATAGATACTGATGGCTGTAGGCAGGAAGGATATCTTGTAAAGGTCCATCCCACAGTGGATCTGAAGAAACTGGCCACAGATGCAGTCTGACCCTTCCACCTAGACTTGGCTGGCCTCTCGGTTCCTCCGGGCAGCAGGACCGCCCAAATGCTGGGCAGAACTCCCCCCAGAGTAATGGCCACTCCTCCCAGCAGTCTGCCGAGCTCCTCGTTGCTGCGGACGCCGGCTGCAGGTGCCAGGGGACGATCCTGTCCTTCTAGAATTGAAGCGTAGTTACGCATCATAACAAATGTCCAAAAGTAAAAAAGTTTCAGTAAAAACCCTTCCAGATGCACAGCATCCCATACCAGAGGAAGCAATCATCCAAAAAAATGTGATTTGCATCCAGCAAAAGAGGAATTAGTTTCCAAAAGTAAAATCTCAGAATGAATGTAACAGAGCTACTCCAACATGCAGCCACCCCGAGTGGTGCAATTCTAGAACAACATACTTGTCTGACAACCATCTTCACCAAGAAACTCTTTGCCCACTATGCATGACTTAGCAGGTCAGAAATGTAGATCAGTGTCTGAGTGGCAGAGTTATAGCTAGTCATGGGTTCTATAAATTCAGTTAGTTGTGGTGGCCCACTTAACTCAGGTAGACTTCAAAAGTTATTCAGTTGTAGAAGTACATCCAGTGATTACTTTCTACAACTTGTACAAAAAATTTCATTCAGTGGTTCATGAGATATTCTGATAATACACACATGCAAAAGTATTATTGACTATTTTTGCCTTTCAGATAGGCAATACTTACTCATGGGATCATCACATTTTTTCTCCTCTTCACATGTAAGTATACAGTAAGAACATTTTTCACTCTTTTATAACTAAAACACAATGTTTCAAATGGCCAGATGCATTCACCTCATAGCAGAACTTTCTGTTATAACCAAATAACCGACATGTCTTACTAATGGGTTGGATAAGCTCTGTCTTGTCAATGGGCTTTAGCTCATCAACAAAGTCTCACAGACATGTAAACACCAACCACTGGACTAAAAACTCTTGTTGTGATAGTTCTGCTACTGCACAGGTCCATTAGCATTTGTTGCCACGATGACACACTTACAAGGTGAATCGAACTCTGTTGCAACAGTCGAGCTAAGACTACCACTTGTCTGTTTTTCTCCCTTTTTTCCATGATGAAAAGGTAAAGCACTGGCCAGTGTGATCCATGCACGACACTTCTTTCTTCTGAACCAAGCTTGAAACGCAGCAGGTGATATGTAATCCTACTTCAGGCAGACTGAGCTCCTTTTCACTCAGTCTATACACAAGTCACTTTTGACTGCTCCATAAAAGATTCAAAGTCTCAGAATCTGGCCATCTGTCATCTGTCGTTATGTTTATCTGTCAGAATTTTAGGCGCTCGCTCTGTCTGTCAACATTTCACATCATATGTTTGTTCACACGTTTGTCAGTTTACTGGGAAATTTTTCACTCTTGAGAGTGAAGCTAATGATCTGTTGAGCATCTTTACATTACATAAGAACATTAAGGTAAATCTCCCTAGTAGTGGGATTAGAACGGTGTGGGGGGGTGCTTCTATGGAAAACAACTTTGCTCAACGAAGGCTATTCTACACAACCATTGGGGAATTCTCTGCTTTCTTTTCAACTGTCCTCCTTTTATTTTCTATCTTTATTTCTGGCACACAGAACTGGAGCCTCACAAAGACACAATGGGTAGTTTTGAACAACAACAATGAAGTAATCAACAATTTTAAAAAAAGCACAACCAGCCGCTGCCTATGTCTGGTGAAGGAATAAAAGGGCACTCCAACTAGACCTCCTACAGACAGCTGATTTAAGTGAGCATGGGAATTATAGAGACAGGCTATCACAAATTTAATCTGCATTTAATTGAAGAAGCTGACAATGTATCTTGTGAGATTTTCTATAGAAAATGTACCATAATTTAATAATTTTTGTGAATTTATGTGCACTCCTGAGATGAAAATAGCAATAACAGCAATGCATAGCAACAGAGGGCAAGACATAATTATGTTAAAATTAACTTTTGATTTGAATGTGAGGCAAATGAGAGAACAACCTCTCTAATTTTATTACAGTTCTGGGCAATTAGTTTCCGCTCACCGTCATTTTAACCTGTAAATGCAGAACCTTTCAGCACCTTTATAACAAAGACTGAAGTCTGAAGTTTGAAGACTAAAAACTGACAGCCTTACAAAACAAAAGACATTTTACCAGCTTAGTAAAACGGCTTTTTTGTGTGCTTCTTGAAAAAGCCATTGGTAAAGTTATATGAAAAGTGACTGTATTTAAAAAAATAATAATAAAATTAGTTCAACAATACAAATACTAGTACTAATTTATACCATTTTCTGCAGAAACCAAAATCTGAGAAAGAAGCATTTGGTCAAAATGAGTTTGTAAGGAAGATAGTGAGCGCATTTTCACAATGAATTAGTAAAAGAAATGAAAGAAAGAAGCAATCAATTCCATGGTCTAATTATTCTGCTTTTTTCAATGAATGCAGTCCTACAGAGACAGAGGACACATCTTCATAAAATCCACAGTTTTATTAAAAAGAATGCAAGATTGCATTTATTCTGTCCTGACAAAGCAGAGATAAGAAGGCAGGTATGAGGTAAAGTTTAACAGCCTTTTTTTTTACCTCTGTAGATTATTCTCCTTTTATCTCTAATGCCTTTGCTTGCTTTTTTGCTGCTCTCACCCTAAGTGCCTAGCTGTCAAAGTCAGCTGAAGCCTCGTTAATGAAGAGGTAGCTTTATTAGCGTGAAGCCAGTTGAACAACAGGCAGGGGGTGTGGAACCCCAAGAAGCCAACCAGCACCGCTATGAAGTATACATACTGAAAACAACAAAAAAAAGAGAGAGGGAGGAAGCGATAGATGAAGAAAAAAAGGACAGGAAAATTATTGTACAGACAAAAAGAGAGAAGAGAAAAATGTTTAAGAGAAATAAAGAGTCATTCATCAAGCAGTAAGCACAGGTTGAAAGCACCCTGTCAGTGAAGAAGGGGGAGAGGCAGCTTCCCTCTCTTTTACACTTCACTAGCAGCAACAGAAGAAGCTCTTACCGTCTGTTGCAGGTCTGGGATTCCTATGCGGATCACCACAGTGTTGCCTGTCGGCTCCTCCATGGGTGCTCTTGCACTGTGGGCACGTTCTCCACCGGGACTGAAAGCTGGAACACCGTGAGGAATGGGAACACCGCTGTCCTCTTCCCGGGAGCTGCTGCTGTCAGAGTCGGCCCCCTGGCTGCCGTTTGCTGTGTGTGTGTAAGGGTGTGTGTGTGAGTGTGTGTGCTGCTGCTGGTCCTGCCGTGGAGAGCTGGGTGGCTC